AAAGATTTAAGATAGACCCCTTTAACTAATCCTGATTTAGTTTGGTTTGTGGATGGCTTCTACTTAAAACCAAATTCTGCTAGCTCTTATTACCAGGCTGGATATGTCATCACAACTTTTACTGAACTCCTTGAGAGTCAAACTTCTTGAAGCTACTTCTGCCCAGCAAGCTGAATTAACTGCCCTTACTAGAGCTTGTAAGCTTGTTTCAGGAAAGTCTATTAATATTTACACTGATTCTTGTTTTGGGGTTGTATATGATTTTGGGGTTTTTGTTTTGGGGTTTTGACATGTTATGGACACAAAGAAGATTTTTAACCTCCTCTGGACCTGCCATAAAAAATGGAACTTTAGTGACAGAACTTTTAGATGCTCTGCTACTCCCCTCTGTAATCAAAACACAAGCTCACCAGCCCAAAGGAGTACCCCAAACTGAAGAGATTAGAGGGAATGCTCTTGCTGACAGAGCAGCCAAACAAACTGCTTCTAAAATTACTATTGACCTCATGTTGAATAAAGAAAAGGACCCCTCGACCTTGTTTACTGATGGCCCAATCTTTATGAATTAACTTCAGGAAAACTTTTAAATCACCAGCAATTAACCCAAACAGAAGAGGTTGAAATAGGGAGAAAGGCAAGTTGTTGTCAAGATCCTGCCACTAAATTAATGGACACGACCTAATCAGAAACTTGTCCTACCAAAATTTTTGCACACTCCTATGATGCAGACCCTACATGAAGGGTCCCACATAGGATAAGATAAAATGATTGAGACCCTAAACAAATATTGGTGGGGAAAATTTTTTTGAAGCTGCTGAACATATTGCCTCCCATTGTCCCATTTGCTCTTGCCACAATCCCTGAAAGCATCTTCAAGTCCTACCTGGACAATACCCCTTGCCCTCTGGGCCTATGCTTGAATGGCAGCTAGATTTCATTCAGCTCCCTCCCTCCAATGGAAATAAACACATACTAGTGATGATTTGTAGATTTTCAAATTGGGTGGAGGCTTTCCCCTACCACTATGCAAATGTGGACTATGTAGCCAAGAATCTTCTTGAAAACATCATCCCTACCTTGGGAGCACCAAAGACTCTTTGTAGTGATTAAAAAAAAACCTTGCCATCAAGTCAATCCCAATTCATAGCAACCCTACAGGACAGAGTAAATCTGCCCCATAGGGTTTCCAAGGAGCAGCTGGTGGATTCAAACTACCTACCTTTTGGTTAGCATCCAAACACTTAACCAGTACGCCACCAGGGCCTCTTTGTAGTGACAGAGGGACACATTTCACTGGTCAAGTCGTTCAAGAAATACGTCAAATTTTCCCCGTCTTTCAGAGATTACATTGCCTCTACCACCCCTAAGCTTCTTGCCTAGTGGAAAGGACTAATGGCATAATAAAAACTCAATTATCCAAGCTTTATGAGGCCCTAAATTTATCCTGAATTAAGGTTCTTCCTTTAGTCCTTTTGAACTTAAGATCTGTGCCATTTGGATCCCATAAACTTACTCCATACGAGATAATTACTCAAAGACCTATGGCCCTCCCTCATGTTGCCTGTACCAACTCTAACACTGTGCAACCTGAATTATTAAAATACTGTTGGTCTTTAGTCCAATACTCTAAAGAATATTTTTTTACAGGTTAAAGAAGCCTTTGATGACTGAAAGTTAGAATCCCAAAATCTGACTAACACTGTCCCAGAGACTATGTATATTGGAAAAGATATCAATTAAAAGGCTCACTAGAACCTTGATGGAAAGGGCTGCATCTAGTTTTCCTTGCTAATCCATGTGCTGCCAAATTACACTGAGTTAAAACCTGGATCCATCTGTCATAACTAAAGAAAGTCAAGACACTCCTATAGACTCATCAACTCTGTGGAGAGCTAAAAATCACTTTAAAACCCTAGTGGCCAGAAGCAAATGACATCTGAGGTAGACAGTTGATCCCAAGATGACAGAACAAGACTCCATGAATCTGGCTGAATTTTGTGGACTTTGCTTTATAATTGTAGCTATTCTTATGTTATTAGCTTTACTTCATACTTGTGGTCTTTTTCCTTGGTAATTTTATCCAACATGAAGTTCCATTTAACTTTTATTTTTTTCTTTTCCGTGGCATCTTCTGCCACGTGGGAAGAGAATGCATTTATTACATTAGTCCAATCAGTAGCTAGCACCAATAATTTGACTGAATGTTGGATCTGTCATCCCCATCTGCCTTCTGGGCATGAAAATTCAAATCCATTAGCATTTCCTATATCAAATTATAGTGTTGTCCCCAGTGCTACTATTAATTTCAACATTACCTTTAAGTGGCCCATATGTATTAGGCTGTTGTATACCCCTGGATTGTTAGCTCAACCTCAGCTATCATGATTCAACCTAACTCACATTGTGAAATGAAGATTGAATTGTTCTAAGATAAAATCATTTCCCAGTTGGAACAGATTGCAGATGACTTTGGAGATGGAATGGCTACTCAGCAAAGATCTTTGGAATCTCTTGCTGAGGTGGTACTAGACAACAGAATAGTTCTTGATTTCCTTCTAGACCAGCGATGAGGGGTTTGTGCTATTGCTAATACCTCCTGCTGCACTTGGATAAACACCACTGGAGAAGACATCAGCAAAATTCATCAAAAAGCCACTTGGCTGCATTCAATACCTCCTATGCCTGACTCTCCTTTTCTAGATATCTTTAGCTGGTTACCAAATGGTATCAGTTCCTGCCTGCGTTCCACATTACAAACCTCCTTAGTTCTTTTCTTTTCTTTACTGATCATTGTAGGATTAATCACATGTTGTATGAAATGCTTATCTAATGCCTGCAGCTAAAAGGAAACTCCACTAGCTACGTGGAAGTAATGTATTTCAAGGAAGCTGAATCCTTAGATGAAAACTAACCCTATACCCCAATCTGAGTTTTTACCAGATGCTGTGTGCGTACTTCCTTTTACTTCCTTTTACTTTTACTTCCTTTTACTTTTTCTATTCTTAAAACTCTTACCAGTGTCTAGACTAATGAAGAGGACCCACCCTGTTTCCCTGGGTGTTTTGTCTTGATATTTTGTTGCATGAGTTTGTTCCTCCCATTTGTTCTTGCCTGCTGCTATAACTCAGCTAAGGATCCACTCACTCTGAAGATGAGGGCTATTAGCTCAGCAAGGTGAAGAAAATAATTTTATTGACCAAAGCTTTTCAAGAAAGCAGACAAAGTCCTTGCAGAAGAAAAGATACTCGATTGCGGGTGATCAGTGCCCCCTAGTGGAAGCTTGATCAAAAGGGGGGAATGGGCTAGCAAAAATTCAAACACAGAGGCATTGTGAGCAGACTCTCAATAAAGGGTTAACAAGAACCACTCTTGGGCAAACAAGGGAAGGGACGAAGGAGAAGTGGTTGTTCTGGATAAATCTGTACAAAGAATGTTCCAGGAAGTATGCAATGAAAATGTTCTCGAAATTGCTTAACTGCTTACCCAAACTGTATCAAGAAATGTTTGTCGGAAAATAAATTAACCAAACGAAGAAAGTTTTTTTTAATGTCTGTGGTATTGGTCACGCTGAACCCTGTGTATAAAAACTCTGCCCTTTTTCAGAACAGTGGAACACTTTCACTATGTGCTGCCCAACCTGAGTTGCTATTCCTCAATAAAACTCTTTGTTCTTTCTCTTATCAGAGTACTAGATTTTCTTCTTTGACACATGACACCTTGATTCTAATTTTATTAAGGATGTTTAGATTTGGGAATTCATAGAGAAGTAGTCTTTTCTTGAAAAATGTGCAGTATCTTCACTAAGTCATGCTCCAGCCACACTCAAGCTATTGAATCATTTTCACAAACGTGTATTGTCTGCGCATTACATGTTATGAGTAATAATATACTGTTTGTTGCTGTAGGAACCACCAAAAAATCCGTCCTTGCCCTTAAGACACTTACAGTCTAATCGGACTCTAATACCAACAAGAACAATTTACGCCATGACCACCCTACAGTTGTAATCTTACTTTAAGTGGGCTTGCATTTTTACCAAGGATTGTAAGGCACGTTATTTAAACTGAATTCATATTACCAATAAAGAAACAGCATTTCTGCAAACAGGTTCGGTAAACTACCGTGCGTAAGCACCACACGTTTTTGCATTCACACGACGCAATAACCAAAGGTTCTTGATCTTTTTGCTCGGCGCTCATCTCTGTTCTGGCTGTATGTAATGCCAGTTGAATACTCTAAATTCAGTCATCCATATTTACTCATTTTAAAGAATGATCAATTCAAATACTGCTAAAACTTGCTGCAGATTTGCCGGATCCCACTCTGGTCAGAATAAAGAAAGGGCCACCTGTACGTATGAGCATTAGCCCTAAAAGCGATGATAACGCGGCTACGTCCACGAACCACCCTCCTCCCCAGGCAGTCAAGCTCCAGCTGTGGGATGCCGGAGCGTTTCTGGAGCCTTCCCTCAATGTCTCGGTTGCCTTTTCATTTCTAAAAAGTGACTCATCGCCTCAAGTCAGAGTCTGCTGAGAAGCCAGGCAGGATCCGTTTATTTCCAGCGCTTTCTGACCGAGGCTGCTAAGGTCAGATCCAGCCAAGCGACACCCCGCCCCCACCCCCGAAGGCTCTGAGCGGAGCGGGCGAGGACCCCGAAAGTTCCAGCCGCCTGGC